AAATAATCTATATGATTACTAGTTCTTTAGTGCTAGATTATCACACCAGCTATCGCTTGTTCCACATTCAGTCCGTTGGTTTTATCAATTGCTTACTGTTAGATGGGATACATGAGATCTGACAACTGAATCCACCGCTGCGCGAAAAGAACACTGTAAATGGAGGCCAATGTAGCGGCAGAATGCTCGGCAAGCAAATTAGTTGGAAGGCAGTACACCGTACCGAGGCTTCGCTGACATGCGATTACCAAAAACCGTGCGTAGGGTGAATACACCGGGAGGTCTCCAGCAACTATGCCGAGTCGAGTCGGTGATTTCTGGATTGCAAGGCAAGCACGTAGTCCTTTGAGTCACTGGCCAACGACAAGCAAATCGACTAACTGATGAAGCTAGATCAGCAAATAACAGCAAGATACGTCACAGCTACAACAGTGGGTAAAAGTACCATCATGCCATTTCATCCTTTCGGGAATCGCCAGCAGCGCGCATCCCATCTAGTTCCTGTTGGGCTGAAATGACGATAGTGGGACCAAAGTTGATGCCAGTAAGCTACACTTTTCCAAAGCCTTCCACCGCATCCATTTGCCAAATCTCGAGGTTATGGAGCCGGGAACCATGTCCTGAGGTTGGATAGGGAAAATTTTCAGCTGTGACCGTATGTGCTAACTCGTTTGTTATAAAAGCCAAGCCAATAATGTACTAGCTCACATGGCCTGAAGCTTTTGGGTCGAGTGTGAAACGCAGGTGCAATACAAGACCGGTCCACGATCTTAAAGATTCCGAAATTAGGATACACTGGATGTATCGTTGGCCACTGCTTCGCAGCCAATGTCCATATTCATTTGTCACTCGTATGATCAATGAGGTGGCACATTGACACTTGCTCCTACCGCTTCGTCTGCGCCTGTCCGTCGCTACTTTGCGAATAAAACCCATATGCGCTTGCTGACATGAGTACTCGATTGCGGGCCCGGTTCAGCGGATGTTTGCTAGTACCATATCATCACACCAGTTATTGTCATCAGCAGAAATACCGCAATCAACGCCAATGGGCCCCGGTGGATACTGTATGTATGTGATCCGGCTTCGAACCCCCAACAGTTGTTAGTGAGTACCATCTGAAGACTAGGTACTCTCCTTCTGCTTCCCTGCATACTTTAACCGACTATAACTCTGAGGATAGACACATCAGTTGAGTGATTAACACACCCCATCCATAAGCAGACTACGGAGATCACGATCGGGTGGTATGAATGTGCAAGTGGGTTACCTAAAGGAAGGACACTTAGGGATCGATGACTCCCGGACAGATAACGGTGAGTCGTTGTGCTGAGTGCGAAATTCAATCTGGTACCCACCAAAGTCAATGACTCGGAATTAATCCGACTGTTACAGATACAATATGTTAGTGCGAGATTGCTGGCCGATTTGGGATACGTGCCTGGATTCTGCGTACAACCTGGTGCGAGCATTCATTGCGCTCACTCTCCCACTATCAGTACGGCGCATAACTTCGAGCCTTCCCATCCATCGCCTTGACATATTATCCACAGCACAATGCCAAGAAGGACCAGTTGGATGGGTGAACTGAATGCCGACTAGAAGCGTCCCACATGGGATGTATAGGGGTCGCCAGAAGCCACTTGTACAACAAACAACAGACGTACGAATCATGGCTCGATTCTAGAGCATCGGCTAGCTCGATCGAAGTAAATGAGTCAGCTCAGTTGCGTACCTAGTTTTACTGTCATAACAATCTGAAACGATATATAGCTAGGATGCTGATAGTTGCCGGATGGAAATAGCCAGTACCAACGGGAAATGAGTATGAACTGAGCAATCAGTCGTCAGCTCCCAATGGGCGAGATTTCCTGAATTTGGTCCGCTGCCTAGCGGGTAGCCTGTTTGACCAAAGGCTCGGGGTGGTGCCGCCTAAGACAACACCCTGCCTCGATTTGGGCAGCTGGGTAGAATCTTACCCTCTGACGAAACTAGGCCCCACAGTGTTGTTTTCTTTTCGATAACTATACCTTCCTTTGAGTTCCACGGTTTTTGATGGCTCCATGTCTATTCGTAGAAAGGAATTCAAAGCTTATTCGTACATACTCAAGGAGAAGCATTTCTATCTCAAAACCTCTGTCCAGTAAATTTAGAAGCTAGAATAGGGCTATGCAACACCCCATAGGTACGGAACGAGAAAATTGTTGACGAAAAGACTGAGAGTCACTATCGTAACAGCCTTGTGAATAGAAACCACAGTGACAGAATAACGTGTTCGAATGAAGCTCTACCGTCCAAGTAGGTGATTCACAGCGAACCAGGGTAGAATGATGCAACACAGGTGGAAGTGTTTTTTGTGGTGTGGGGCACTGTCACAGGGCTGAATTGACACCAGCTAAATCCGTTTCGCTAGCACAAACTCGTTTAAACTCAATGTGACCTACACGGGAGTATTGTAACATTATACAAAGCCACGTACGCAAGATAAAACTGTTTCTGAATACGTCCAATGCTTGTGCACCAAAACGATCTTCGGGCGCTCATCGACGATCAACTAAGAGGAACGATGTCGACAACTCCAGTCTGACCCATCCTGGTTGAAGTGAGTGAGGACCAACCTCACCATTCATTCGCGAACCATCACAACTACTACAGCCGTCGTTTCACGAAATACCCCAACCATAACGGGAAGTACCTGGTACACTTACAGAAGACCAATCAAAACACTCGCTAAAATTTCATCAGAGTACTTTATCTGTGGAATAAGCGCAACAAAGATCCGATTTACAAACTTATTTCTACGCCAAAAGTGACCGAAATTTTCGGCTCAGTAATGGCATGGCTTACGAAATTGGCGACCCATAAACTTAAAGCTCATACTGAAAATGATCAATCCGGACCACCCAGCAAATTGGGAAGACCACCTAACCAGATTTGCGATATGCAACACTGCGCAAATGATCGTTCTCCAAACGGGAAAGTATCCTGTCTGGCAGAAAACCCTAATTAATTAATTTATTTGATAGCCATTCGAGCATGAGATCCGATGAGCGAAACACTGAAGCTGTGCTATCGGCTGTATCTGCATACGTTTCGAGCTCCAAGGACGGACATCTCACAACAACGTTGGCTCCAGTAGGGTACAGAAGCAGACGTACTGGGGAGATTAGAGAATTAGCTGTTATCAACAGCCAATCGTAGTGCTACTCGTACGGGGAGTGTGAGAGGAACAGTCTGCCAATTGAAAATTGAGTTCGGAGAATTGGTTTCGAAGGACTGCAAGTGTCACACTGAAGTCAGTTGAACACTAACTGCCTGCAATGGATACACCATGTCCTCGGTGCCCGTTAGTCACTTAAATCAGTGTGTATTTTGTACTGTTACTGCATCTAATTGGATGACATCAAGTAACGATGGGCCAGTGACAGAGAAAGAATAAAAGTAAAGTTTCGGTCAAGCTGACGAGTGCCGTATTCCTGGATAGAGGCGCAGACTAGTTATACCAATGGCTAGTGATCATGTCCGACAGACAAGACTTGCTTGGGAAACGAACTTGTGCACCAATTTCTGTCTCTCGTCGCCATCATGGCAAATGGACTCATAGTAGTCCGGCGGGTGATTGGATCATGATCGTATAGCTGAACCGTATTGGTTTTCCACACGAATTGTGAAATAAACGAAGGTGCGTGGCAGTAGCCGCCACACCGAGTACGAAGAAAGCGATAGACTTGTAGAATTTTGGTGGCGCATAGCCAGAATCGGTTTCTCTCAGATGGATATGCAGAGGCTAGTGCGGCCAAGAACACGCGCAAAGCGGGGATGTGCAACCTGGTGACTGGCGTGAGTTTCCCATGTGTTAAGCATTAAACAAATACGTCGCCCAGGTGCACTGGTCACGGTGCAGACCGATCTGCAGAACGATATCGGTGTGCCTGAGAGATATTGAGAAGTAATCAAGAAACGGCAACGGTATAGCTAATTGTGACGCATTTCTATCGAATCCAGAAGGCACTGAAAGAAAAGGATACAGCACTATAAGGCAGCAGCTGTCAAGCCGTATAATTTTTAGACCAGTTTGATGTGAGGAACTGTGGTTCAATTTACTGCTTGCCTATGGGACGTGAGCTAATAGTGCGTGGTTAGTTCCCATGGTCAAGCGGTATACCGCATGGATGAAGGCATCCTGCAATCTGACAATGATTACATGAGTGAACGCTCACCTACGGAAGATTACGCTTAAATCACACGGATTGCTTTCACCGCTGAATCTTTAAATCCATAACAGGAGCCATTGTGACAAGGGAAAGTCGTGCGTCGAAAACGCATGTTTGAGTCCTCTTTGGGATAAGTTTACTTGAAGGATTTTAAGTAAACCGGATAAGTGTCGTAGGACGCAACGCTGGAAGCCAAGATATCTGTAATTCATTTACAGTGGAAATCGCCACTACGACTCACTTGTCATGAGGAAACAGGAACAATACCGTGGGTAAACATGGCTGCTGCGTGAATTCCAAGAAAATAAGACAGATCGTGAGACAGCAGCAAGTACTCGGAGTCGGGATCTGTGTCAGAAAATTTAGGACGAAATGATACAAAAGTGCTAAAGACAAATTTTACCGAGGTGAGGCTGATCTTGGTCACTCTAGGAGGAGTAGCCCAAACAAGCCCCGATAACAGTGCAAGGAAAACTATGTCGCGAATCAACGGTCAATGCCAATTTAAGCGCAGACACCAAAGCAACGTACTATGGCTCCCTGACCGCTATTGCTAGAGGCAGTAAATCGCAGAGCACAGACGCGAAAAAAGCAGTGATCAATCACCGCACATTGATCATCCATTCAAACAGCTAGAGGAGCTTCGCATATACTAAACTCTAGAGATCAAAATAATGATGAGAACTCAGTAAGAGTTAGGGCCCAAAGTACACTTAAATTGCCCAGCCCTTAGGAGTAAACACGGATGACGGCTAAACACTAGACTAAACAATGATGAAGACTTCTCCAAAGTCAGCAACACACGTTTATAGTAAAAATAAAAAACAATGCAAAGCAGAGGTAAATAGCAATTTAAGTAAATGGTAATAAAACCAAGTGCGCTAGGAAAAAAACGAACAAGCAAAAAACAGACCCGTAGTCTCAAAAGAGGCCAATGAACAGCGCGCTGTAGGCCAAAGATAAATGGAGAATCTGAATTTAACTAAATAAAAAAGTAATACGTGTTGTGTACATCAGAACAGTACAAACGACGGGTTACAAAAGGGAGAAAGAAGGCACAAGTGCAGCATAATCGGAATGGAAGTGAACAAGTACACACGAGAACAGGTTAGAAGTACAATGATGAAGAAAACGAACCAAATGCAAATACACCGTCATTTGACACCCCTCGTAAGTGTGGTCGTGCAAGCAGTGAACAGAAGCTGCCAAGATACCGTCCAAAACAGCGACCAGATTACATAAAGCAAATGGCAACGAAGTAAATCTGCTTGCCCTCAATATACCCGCTCTCAACACTTGCGAGGTGGGTAAACAACGCGTCTGATGGTTTTGTTAAAAGCGAATCCTTTCTCAGGTAGCACATTCATGAAGTGATGAGGTTCGTGATGGAAAAGCATACCGGGAACGACATGCATATCAGGGAGTTTCCATCCAATTAAATGTGGAGCCATGCATTCGGTTTGCCGCCAATCTCTTGCCAGTTTAGATCACGAGTTGGTTCCCTTAATGCACACTTGTCTCAAAATGGATGTATAACAACACATCCAAAGCGCAAATTTGATCTTGCATGGAACCATGGTTGTGTAGTCTTCTGATTGCAGCTGCTCGGACTGGCCTCGGCTGCCGATATGCAAGAATTTGCTTACCGATCTGCATTTGTAAAAATTCCCTTTTTAATAATGCGAGGGCCTCGAGTAAAGAAAGATGATGCACACAGACAGAGCAGAGGATTGGGAACAAGCAAAATAACATCCGTTGTAGCGTGACACGCATACGCCGAAAGAGCCAAGAGGTAACTGAAGTTCGAATGGAAGGGCTACCTGAGATGGAATAAAACCATCGGACGCCTTGGAGGGGTGAGAAAAACGAAATACAACCGACGGCGCAAATAAGAGTAGCTCGTGGTAAACATTCACTGTGAGCGAATCAAGGCAACAAGTAATGGTGAAAATGCCACAAGGTACGCAGCACGCGAGGTGTGCAAGAAAACCTTTCAGATAAAGAGGAAGTTGTATGCAGAACAAAGGTCAACAGATCAATGAAAAGTATAGAGAATAGGATGAAGAGGGGCGAGACATTGAAAAACGAAGAAAACACGTAAAATGTACCCCATAATCAAAATAAAGAAATTAAAATATCGAGAAAACTGCAGAACCAAGGATAAATCTGAACTGCGCCTACTCGCGCAAACCACTGTCATCCACATCCGCGTCGGATGGAGCAAGCAACTTGGAGAAATTGACTAAATCATGGGGATTCAGAGCACCGGCAACATCTACGGTGACATTTCGCTCCATTACCGAGTTCACCGTCAAATCCGTACTATCCAAGGAAGTGGAAGCATGGCTTATAGCAGCACATGTAGCCCGAGGGGTTGAGGAGGCAGACGACACAATTTTGAGGGTTTCGTCAGGATCTTGTGTCATTGGTTGTCCAAACTCGGCAGTTGCTTGCTTGCATATCAGTTCTGGACAAACTGAGTGCGGCGAACTGCGAGTCAAATATGGATTAGTTATAGACGGCAGAAATGTTGTGGGTAATGATTCCGAAGAAAATGTATTGAGTTGGTTTTCCCAGTCCGCTAGCTGGCGAAGTGATACATTACGACCGCCACCGACAATAATGACGACACTAGCAGGACGAGGAATCCGGCCCTCCAATTGCAAACGGCCGATTATTCCAGAGTATATGCTACATAAAGCAGCGCCGGATGCTGGTTCGACTAACATACCGTGGTCATCTAAAAAGCGTGACAAAAAACAAAACCAAGGTGACTGGACGGAGACAAAACATCTAGATAAAAGTAACTAAGCCTTCCAAATTGTGATTAAGTTCAAATGGTGCTGAGTGTGACTGCGCCCCGTCACATATAGCACGCAAGCGGGCATTTGCACCTTCAGACCAAAGGAGGAAAGTTACAACGCCCTATAAGAAAACCGAAAGGACTCACCCAAAAAGTGCTTCACGGCGTTTAGCGCCTCGGAGTCAGTGCAAGTAGCGGGCGTCAACGACTGTAACTGTGCCAAATTCCAGCTACGGTTAGCCAATACAGGCGCAACAAGTGATGCTGCGATGCTGGTCGATCGTGGAACCAAGAGCAACTGACCAGCCTTCATTGAACGCCACAAACAATCAGCCCCTTCAGTCTCGATTGCGACCACATGAGTGGACGACCAACCACGATTCCACAAACCCTGATAAATGGAGGAGGCAACAGTCATCAACATGTACTAGCCGTATTGACAAAGTGACGCCGGATATTTTCATTGCAAGCAGCAGCGCTTAGTTCTGTGTCTGAGTGCTAACATGGGAATGAAAATGCTTTATCATGAGACAATTGTGAGCGAGTTGGTAAGCAACAAAAGCTTAGACGACCGCTATCAAAAATTAAGTTAGGACAGTGTCAAGAGCGGGACTGCAGTGTTACAAGTGTCTGTCGCAAAGTGAGCGCGCTTAGCCAAGTACAATACATGGCGAACGTGAGAAAAGCGCCGACTTAAGTGTGATAGGACATTTCCGTTACCCGACACAAAAGGATGTAAAGGAAAGAGATCGGAATGATCACCTTGACCATCGTGAGTTCTACACAATGGTACCGACCTACGGCGAGAAGGAACTATGTGGATAGCCAACAGGAGCCTGCCGGTTCCGCTGGGAGAAGGCAAATGAGCGTGAATACACAACTTTCGATGAGATTATGACAAAAAGGGCCCAGACAAGCTGACAGATGCCATCATCGACTAAGCAATAGAAGCATACATTGTAACCGGAGCTGAAGATATTCAAGATGTACCAAACGACAAGTGCTCATCGTAGCGCCGTCCAGATTACATAGGTTTAGTTCTCGAACGCTGGTGTTATGGTTAGCAGCAACCGATGTCCTCGAAGTTGCTGTGCCCCGGCCAGCTAGACACGAATAAAACCACTGTATACATGCACACAGTAAAAGGCTAAGTCAACAATACCGATAACAAATATCACGGAGCTCGATTTACAAGCGGAAACGTCGACATTTTTGTTGCATGTCAGGCAAGCCTAGGTCAATATTGCAACACGGCCCACGCTTTAGAACGACATAAGAGATTATGAAGTAAACTGGGAGATAGAAATTGGGTATTGCCCACCCGAAAACACTGCACAGCCACGACGCGTTTCGATGTAATTTTCATCTCATCAGGTGGAGACAGCAGGATTTGAACCCACGACCATTGGAATAGCAGCCAACACTACTACCCCTTTGGCTACCGGGTCACGATGGGCAACACATAAACTGAGAGATAACTGAGAGCTGGAAATGACAATAAACTCGTATGAAATGCCAAAATGCATTTGATGCGCGAGACAAGAGGTGCTACTTTCAACTCTGAAAAAAGTGAAACATACCTGAATAATCCCAGCCAAGAGGCCACCACCACCAACCGCGACTACAATGACATCGGGCTGTCCGATTTCCGGAGTCAGTTCATCAACGACAGCCTCGTAACCTTCCCATAAATCTGGCTGGTCGTATGGGTGTAGGAGACGGACACTCTGGTCACTAGAATGACCAGTCTGCAGTTCGTTCACCATTTGTTCTGCTCGATGATTCGCCTCTAGCCAATCAACCCCGTGAACCACGATTCTAGTTTCGGGTGCCTCAAGTGCTAAGCGACGGCGGATCACCGATTCATTCGTTTCTGGAACGACCAAGGTGCAAGTCAATCCGTAAGCCTGAGCACAATATGCGGCGGCTATGCCGGCATTACCGCCGCTTGGGCAAACTACATGCGTTACGCCGGCCGATGCCCACTAGAGAAACAAGAAATAGACAATAAAGGATCAAATAGCATGAAGCAAGGTAGAAAAAGAAGACAAAATGGCTTCCGAAACGAGTTAAAAATTTCATCATAATAATCGTTTGCAGATGCCCAGGTTAAAAGGTAGGCGTTAGGATAGGGTGAACAAAGTGCGATGATGGCCCCGCATTGCAGACAAATGACGGGATGTGTTAGGAATAGTCAAAACAGGAGAACAATGTACTGCATCCAACTAGGGAGACCGTATCCTGAGTAAAAGCTAAACTTAATACCTGTAAGATACACAGAAAGTGCAAAGAACGAGCAAATTTGAACGGAAGTCACCTTACGACAAACGTTTTCCATTCCGCGAATCTTGAAAGAACCAGTAGGTTGCACATTTTCCAACTTTAACCATATGTGGGCTTGGCAGCCCCTCTGGGAGGCTATGCCAGTTAGAACTGGACTGGGGATGACAGGCGTTTTGATTGACAAACGTTTTAAGCTTCCAGATAGCCAGCTGTGACATAGTGCTTCGGAGGCGCGGCCAACGTCCGGTAGAGCACCCAAAACAGACCGATGATGCGTAACCGACCAAGGTGAATGAACCTGGTTGGTAGATAGGGTTCGCAATGTTGTATCCAGTTTGCAATTTTCTTGCTCGCCAGCCCGATGAGATGATAATGAATTGGCAAGTGATACGTCCCGACTGGCGATGCGCTCTGTGAGGTTCATCAGACCTGAATTCGTCGAATTTGATATACTGGAATGGCTGTCGAGTAAATCCAGCAGCTCCATCGGAGTTGCTTGCAGGAAGTTGGACTGGCCGAGCACGTTTGGTGAAAGATCGTTGACTATGGAAGTGAAATTTAAGGGGTGTAAAGTTAGATATTTACTTAAACACGGGTAACACTAAGGAACTAACAGGAGTTGGATACGGAGAACAATCAGTAAATTGCGAAAGGCCCGGGTATCGAAGCCCACTGTGGGATAGAGGTTGTAGACGTGGGAATTCGCTCGTCTAAGCAAGTACAGACTTAGTTAACTGAAAGTTTGTGTTGTAGCACAGAAGACAAAAAGGCGTTTATTTGGAAGATCGTCGGATAAGCTACAGGGCTTGAGAGCTAGGCTATGGTTAGCAACGCAGCAGTGCATGTCCTGGGGCTTAGCTGTCAAAGACAAACGACGATTTCGATGGTAAGTAGCGTAAAGGAACGAGACACAACGTAACACATGAGCGCGCAATTACAGTCGTCTGCTGAGTCAAGCGAGCTCTTGCTGTTCCACTTGCAACCCGACACTAGTACTGGTATGCAGATGACGATCAAAGAGATCTCAGATTTTTGGAACCCAGGCCAACTACCATACAGGACCTTCCAGACCTAGGGCAATTCCTTGTGATGGCATATATCGAAACTTACAAACACAGTTCACCCATCAATGCGAATGTAGCAGCTAAAGCAAGTGAGTTAAAAAATCTCTAGTTTGAAGGATTTTGAGTGATTGATGGCTTTGTAATAGTAGTACGAAGGTGTGAAACTCATTTCAGATGATGTACTCACTCCAAAACTTAGGGTTGTGTGCTGCTTCACGGTTGTGCAACAGAAAGGTGATACCGCACAGATCAACTGACTCCCCAGGAGCAACATCCATTGCGTTATTCCACAGAAACGCTACAGGTAGAATTCGCGATAAATTTAGACAAAATGGAGAAGTTAAGCAACCCCGGTGAACATCAAAATGTCTCTGACACCTACCCATGGCAAAAGGTGTCAGCAATACGTCGGCATGCAATATCGACGTTTCGCCGCCGCGCAACCAACACCGGTGGTACGTGGGCTAAGGATACTGCGAGGGTCGCACTGCCACAACGTAGGCTCGAACCCACGCCGCAAGATTACGAGACAAGCTCGTCAGTTCTAGGCTACGTGCCATACCTACCCATGGACCACGACGGGACAAATGGCGTAAAAACAAAGGACAGTTGAAATGTGTACCCAGACCTGAAGATAAGCCGCATCGAGTGTTCGTGAAGAGCAGGAGTATATTTAGTCAGCCAGCAATATATGTGAAGCCGGTGATCGAAAGGCTAAGTCTGCGATGTAAAAGTCACCGGTTCGAATCAGTGTGGGTGCAGGCGACATCGCGGTATGCCCAGCCGACGAGCGGCTAGGGGTGCAGCAACGAAGCAACATTAAACCATACCGGTGTATCGCCGATGGCTTGATTATCTACGTATTCGAATCGATGACCTGTAGATCATTTTGCGGACGTTCTATACCGGCCAAATAGTTCACCAACTTAATAAGCTAGTGCGTAAAGAGTGGGGCAGTGTTCCAGAAAGCTTGTTATCCGATAAGGCGTGCGCGTGCAGCTACAACTCGACGGTACGGTTTGATGAAGTCAGAATAGTTAGAGAAGATAGATCCAGCTGCAGGATACGTGCCATCAAAACTTATTTCTGGCATAAGTTAAATCAAGATCCTATTTGAAAAAATAGGAGATCCGGTTGACAGTTACGGTCAACACGGAGCTTGTGTTCAATCTACTAGAAGTTCGTGACCACTCCAAATAACTGGAGTGAATCGATTAAAGTGGAAATATACAAGGGCAGTTGCATCGACTGTGTTAACCATAAAGCTATCTGCCTAATGCCAATGGTGACAAACTTACCGGCCAGAATACTCGTTCGTCGCCTAACTGCGGAAAGGGAGTCACGGATTAAGAGAGAGCAAGCATGCATCCGCCCAGGACGGCATTGTATGGAAAACATACCAGACAGATAATAGATGTGTTCTCCGACTCCAAGAGTGCGTTGCACTAAATCGATCGATCAATTCTGTCAGAAATGCTTGCGTGGAAATATGTGAACATTTACGTGCCCTATAATCGTACACCACAGGCCGCATTAGTGTTTACCGTGACTTATCTGATATCTTCCCGACAAGTGACGTTTATCAGTTGCCCAATTTCTCAGTTTTTGTTCAACTTCGTCGTGGACTCTATCAGAGTGCTCGGTTGCGGAATTTCACTATGCAGGCGTTGAGATGCTGCGTGGTGAAAAGCTAGTTGGTATTGATTATGCGGCTGATATTGTCGTGGTGTTTAACGATGTTCAGGCGGTCCTGTCAACCCTGAATAACCGCTCTAGAGTGGTCCCATCATTCGGCATGCGCTTTGCACCTTCAAGGTGCAAAGTGTTGGTACAGGACCATCAGTAACTTGATCCACTCTTGACCCTTAATAACGAAAAACTCGAGATAACTGGTCACTTCACTTACCTTGGTAACTGCACCAGCAACGATGACCGCATAACAAATGAAATCAGTTTACGTACTGCAAGAGTTAGAACTATTTTCTGGAACCTGCGACGTCTGTAGCGTTAGAAAGGGGCTTCCATACACCTGAAAAGTGTTTACAAGGACATGTTGAAGGCCATTTTAGTCTGCGGGAGTAAGACTTGCCCCCCTCCGATCTGAAGCAGCCCCAAGTCTTTGGTCATCTATGCTTGCGAAGCCATACTGGTGCCGCATGGCACCAGCGTGTTCGCAGCGATGATACGCGTAAGCGAGGAGTATTAAGCTAGTTCCTTAGAAGAACAGATAGCGCTGAATAAGCTAGGTTGGCTTGGGCAAGTACTACGTATCCCCTATCACCGCTTACCGTGGAGGGCCTTGTTTTGTTTCCCAGGGTGGTGAAAAGCGCGAGATAGGAAAAAGGCAGCAGGAAATGAAGTCAATGACTACAAAACTAGGTGTTGTTGGTCCGTCTCGTCTTCCGGCCTGGAGTCCACGTGGCCCGCCTCGTGCCTGGCTGGAGACGTAACAGGACACGACTCGCAGTCGACACCAGTGGCGCACTTAGTGCCGTCTCGGAATGCGTTTAAAGGGTGTTTGGTGTTACTTGCGGGGTAACGGCTGATTATGGACGCGGGGCAGTAAAAGCGGAGAGAAAGTTGTCCTGCTTTGCACCACAGCCAGTCGTTTGTGACCGTATTTTCTTGACAAAAAGTATGCGCCTTGACACTAGATGTCTGCTTAGGGCATTAAGGTTTGGCCTTAGGTCTTCTTCTCTACCTTATAAATCTTTGTTCATAGGACACCGTGGCTGTACGGCAGTGAAGCATCAGTTTAAATAGTTGATGTACTGAGGTTAACGATGGTGGACAGCGGCTACGTTTTTGGCGCTTTACGCTGACTGCGCAAGCTAATGAAATTTCCACATCTACTACATTCATAAAAGTTGAGATCTTAAGTGATATCTGGTTGTGCTTCTATAGAAACGTCTGTTTCCGAATTGCTACGAGGAGCATTCATCCCAGTTAAGCATTGCCTCGGATCCCTGGCGATACTTTGGTAAACCACCAATTAAGTCACCCGTGCATTCTCCGGCACTATCAATTGATCCAACCGACGGCATCATCAGACAATTCGCCCCAGCGTTCCAAAATGGTCTCGGCCGTTGTGTGGACACTCGCACTGTGTTACGACTGGCACCTAGGACCCAACCGTTATTCCGTCTCAACAGGCCCATTCCATACGGAGTCTTATCGTTGGTCGGTGCCCGAAACGAGTGTCTTGGTACTCGTGTCTTATTCTGCCTGGGCAGTCCCGATCGTTGTGGTCGGGAAACCGAGTGGGTCCCATCGCATTTGTGCTGATTTGACCAACGGCCTCAATGTTACGCTGAGGCTGAACTGTTATCCAGTACTAGCTCCAGCCGACTTCTCCACAATGCTCTAGGGTGGCATGTGCTTTGCCAAGATAAACCTGGCCGACGTCAAAGTTGCAGCCGCTCATGGCGATCTGCACACACCGCGGTCTTTTCCAGTACAACAGGCTGCCGTTTGGCGTCATGACCGATTCATCCCTGTTCTAGCAAACGACTGATGCGATGAGTTCTAGTATGCAAAGTACGGCCACGCACCTAGACGATCTCCCCATGCGATCAAACCGAGAAAGATAGATGCCAAAAGCAGTTCCAGAAGACTGCCCATGGCGACTCCGTGGATATCTTGGTATGCCGACACCTAAGACACAAAACGTACATTTATGTGCATAGTAGAATCACTTCCCTCAGATATTCGAAATGCCTTGGTTCAGGATGAAATGGCGCACATCGTCAACGGTATCGTGGAAAGCTACGTTTATGAATAAAGTCAACGTCTATAGAGTACATGAACTCAGAGCCCAGTAAGGATTGTTCCAGTGTATCCATTAGTTCAAAGAAACCTTTAGGTAGTGCGTAGACAGGAGTTTATTCGCCTATTACAACGTTGTTCGGTGGCTGGCGAAACCCCTAGATACCGGGCGTAAAGGCTTGGCTACGCCCTGCCTGAAGGATTCCATTGAAATAATGAATAGGACGGAACGATCCTCACTGGGCTGAGTTCATGTACTCTATAGACGTGGACGCTATTCAAAAACGTGCTTCTTCAAGAAACCGTTGATGACTTGTGCCATTTCATCCTGAACAAAAACATATATGCGAGCCTCCCTATGGAATATGATTCTACTGTGCACAGAAAATTATGTTGAGTTTGGGGGGACGACATACACACAGATTGACGGATCTCACAATCATTGAACGCACTCTAAAAGTACTGCGTGAGCACCTGAGCTCAGTGTTTGAAAGCATCCAGTGTGGCTCACGCCGAAATGGGTCAGTTTCTCCTACGGTCCAGTAAGTAACTCGGGTTGGTCCTCGATGCTAACGGCCATCACCCTGACTTTGAAAACGCCTGAGCTATTCAACAGATGCCATCTCCAGAAGATATCCACCAGCTGCGATCCTCGCTTGGCCTCCAGCTACTACAGTACTTTCCTACCATTGTTACAAGATGTACCAACCATAT